AAGTAGCTTCAATCACACAAGATGAAATAGTTTCAGACACTGTTCTGGAACAAGGTGCAGATTATTAACCATGGACAAACATATCTACAAATTGTTAAGAGCATACGTTTATGCTAGGTGGTTTTTAAAACCACAATTAAAAAAAAAAAAACAAATTTTGGGACTGGGGTGATACCACAGCGGGTAGAGCGTTTGCCTTGCACGTGGCTGACCCGGATTCGATTCCCAGCATCCCATATAGTCCCCCGAGTACCGCCAGGAGTAATTCCTGAGTGCATGAGTCAGGAGTAACCCCTGCGCGTTGCTGGGTGTGACCCCCCCCCCAAAAAAACTTTCATAATCAGTGAGAAAGAGGATATTTCATCAAGGAAATGAAGCAACTGCTGGCACTTCTTTTTTTTAATGTAGCACTGTAGCACAGTCCTCCCACTGTTCATCGATTTGCTCGAGCTGGCACCAGTAATGTCTCCATTGTGAGACTTGTTACTGTTTTTGGCTGAATTTGCCACGGGTAGCTTGCCAGGCTTTGCCATGCGGGCAGAATACTCTCGGTAGTTTGCCAGGCTCTCTGAGAGGGGCGGAGGAATTGAATCAAGGTCGGCCACGTGCAAGGCAAATGCCCTACCCACTATGCTATCACTCTGGCCCCCTTTTTTAAAATAAAATAGTAAATTGGGATTATAGCAAACAGCAAAGATAATTTCAAACTCTGGCAGTAGCTCCATGTTATAAAGTCGATCTCAAAGAGCTGGAGCAATTGTACAGCAGGTAGGGTGCATGGTGCATATGTGGCTGAGCCAGGCTCAGGCTTCAGCATCCCATATGGTCTCCAGGCCTGCCAGGAGTGATCCCTAAGTGCAGAGCCAGGAATAAGTCCTAAGCACCATTGGGTGTGGCCCCAAATACAAAAGTATAAGACAATCTCAAGATTATAATTACGATCTATTTTTTCTCAACTAAACAAGTTCTTAACTAACTATACTTGAACTATCTCATAGGAAACAGAAAACTAAAACATACTTTCATCATAACAATTATAAAAAACTGTTAACTTATTCAAATTCTATTTTAAAATAACCTTCTTTGAATGCTTCTTATATTTGCATTTCCAAATGTAGTTTCTATATGTCAGCAGAAGGACTGTGCCAAATTGGTTATGTAAAAACCAAATAAGGAAACAAAAAACAAATATCTGGGGATTTTGTTCAGTGGTAGAGCACTTGCCTTGCTCATGTGAGGTCCCAAGATCAATTCTGCTAATGAAAAAAATAAAAACACAGATTTATATACCAACAGAATCAAAATATAGCAAAAATTTGGGGCTAAACTTTAAAAAAAACACTTCTTTCCGTTTTCTTAAAAGTGGAGCCATCTGTGAGGCCTGAGCAAGTACAGCAGGTAGGGTGTCTGCCTTGCATGCAGCTGACCTGGGTTTGATTCCCAGCACCCCATATGGTCCCCTGATCACTGCCAGGAGTAATTCCTGAGTGCAGAGCCAGGAGTGACCCCAAAACAAACAAACAAACAAACAAGCCATTTGTGACTCTTTCAGCAGAGCTGAATACTCTTCTCAGTCAGCTTCTTCAATAATATACTGTCATATCCCAAAACACATCCAGCACAAAACATACGTATTTATTTCCCATACTATACTATAAATTATGAGGGCAAGGTACAAATATTCATTATAGTGTATGGCAGAGTAACAGATATGTGAAACTGTTATTCTTTTATCTTTTAGAAGTATGAAAATGCTCATGATTTATTGATAAAATCTTAAAAGAAAAAAATCGTGCTTGTCTGTTCATATATAATACTGTCTGGTGTTACAGTGAATCATTAAATTGCCTTTTCTATTTCAAAGATTAGTTTTTAATATCAGCATATTTCATGCAGCTTAATAGAGTATGGCATCAGGGTATTTTTTTGTTATTTTAAAAAACTTTTTTATTGAATCACGGTGTGAAACTGGTTTTCAATACATGTTTTCTGAACGAAATGTGAAGCATCTACTAGATGAAAACACTGTGTGGCGTGCATGCACACACACACAGAGCACACCCCAAGTGCTTAGGGGCTGGGAAGCTCTGTGCTTGAGTCGTTCCTACTGCTGGAAGTATAATACAGAAGGAAAAGTGTCTTGGAGGGCCAGCTTGGCCCTGAGCACCTAGTCAGATATAGACCCAAGTACCACCAGATGAGGTCCCCAAAAGAATAACAAGCCAAAAAAAATAAAGAAGAAAAATATGGTGCAAATAAAATTATTAAAGCTAGCGATGGAGACTCAATGATGGAGGCATCCACATTTCAAACTGCAGCAAAAGTGTGACAGTGATACTATTTATGAATACAGGCAATTGTAGGGGCACTTGTAATGAATGCGACTACCACTAGTTTGACTCCCTGACACCACATACGGTCCCCTCAAGCACCGCCAGGAGTGATTCCCTGATTATAAATTAGGTTTTTACACAAATGGGAAATACTGTCTTCAAAATCCACGTTTTAAATACTGTCTTCAAATGCAAACAATAGAGAATCAATCTCTCTGGTTCAGTAATTCTCGACCAGAGATCTGGGAGTCGCAATTGTGAAGCAGAGCCTATTGTTAAAACTGCCCCCATTCCCTGCTGCCCTGGCAAGCCAGTGTTTCGAAGCCTGCCTTTTCTTTCTTTTTTTTAATATTAAAAAAATTTTTAATAGTGAGTGATCATGAGGTACAGTTGCAGACTTGGGGTTCAATTATACAATGATCAACTACCCATCCCTCCACCAGTGCCCATTTCCTTTTCTTAAAGTGTGCCACAACCAAAGAAAAGTGGAAAAGCACCCTCACTGAGCCTTTCATCTTCACACAGACTTCTAAGTGGTAAGGAGGAAAGCATGGAAGAGAAACCAAGTACTTAATAAGTTATTTACAATAAACATGCAATATTTTTAAGACATCACTTTTCATTTGATTTTCTATAATCAGTCAATACACTTCAGGGAAATGGTCATGCTCACTATGAAATCATTCTGTTTGTGTAAGAGTAAAAGTACAAATTTTCCTTCCCAAGATTTCCAGTGATATATTCATCCCTACAACGGGGAGATATAGAGTCTGTTAGAACCTTAAGTACAGTGAAAGAATTCAGTCTTATATGGGTGGCTTTGGCACAACAGCATCATATCATTGTTAACTGAGAGAAAGAAACACAAATAAGCAGAACTCAAAATGTGACACATTACGTTTTCTTTCATTTGGGGAGGAGTGGGGTCTGGGGCCACACCTGGCAGTGATACAGGCTGGAGGTGCTCAGAGAACTATGCAGGGTGTTGGGGATCAAACCTAGTCGGTCGCATGCAAGTCAAGCACCTTAACCATTATACTATCTCTTCAGATCCTTAGAATTTTAATTTTGGATTTGAAAGAAAATGTGCGGAGGATTGGAGAGATAGTAGAGTGGGTAGGGTACTTGCAAGTGACTGACCTGACTGAGTTCGATCCCCAGCATCCCATGTAGTCCCCTGAGCCCTGCCAAGAGTGATCCCTGAGTGCAGAGCCAGAAGTAGCTCCTGAACATGGTCTGTGGCCCCCAGGAGTAGGTATCACAACTTCCATAATAATTTTTTTTAACATTTAAGATAGGGAAATCCTCATTGGAGTAGGTATCACCATTTCCACAATAATTTTTTTTTCAATCTCTCTCAGATGTGGGAATATAAAGAATAATAAGGAACAACAAATGGCCAAAGTTATCAGAACTGGAGGTTATGTCTATAGATCAGAGCTTACATAGTGATGGTGGTGGTGGTGGTGGGGGTGGGGGGTTTCCTTGAGACACTGTGGAGGGAAGCAGCAGTCTAATGCCAGATGTGGTGTTGGAATGATGTAAGCATTAAATGTACAGTTTACAGTATTGTAAATTCCAGAATTCATAATTAAAATGGTTTAAAAAAATAAAGACAAAGAAAAAATGTTTGTTTATACCTAGAAAATACCAAAAATATGAAAACAGAACCTTTTGTCTTGAAATTATAAGGTGTTTCTATAACACATTTCTGTATTTTAAGTTTTCTGCAGGGGCCAGAGAGATGGTTCAATAAACTGAGTGCATGTTTTGAATGTAGGAAACTTGATCTGATTCCTCAAAATACATGTCTCCTCAGAGTACTGCCAGCACCCAAGCACCAGTGGAGTATGGACTCAAACATGTTTTCTGCAGTGAATACTACTTCTTTTATAATTTGAGGAAAGAAACCCAAACTAACATCTAAATATTTTAAGCAATACTTACCAAGGATATAGAATAATAGGGTAGGGAAGTTTGCATGTATTAATTTACATATCCCTCTGACTATAATCACTTTAGAAGAAAACTGGTGGTATAAGAAATGAAAAAAGGTGCTCGCTTCGGCAGCACATATACTAAAATTGGAACGATACAGAGAAGATTAGCATGGCCCCTGTGCAAGGATGACATGCAAATTCGTGAAGTGGTCCATATTTAAAAAAAAAAAAAGAAAAAAAAGTAGGTAGAAAATATATCAAAATAAAGGCGGCTAGTTGAAAGCATAAAACTTTGGGTATTTTTTATTCTATTATTATATGACTTGAAAGTTTTCAAGAATGTGTGTATGTGGGGCTAGAGACACAGCACAATGGGTTAGGCATTTGCCCTGCATGCTGTTAACGTGGTTTGCTTCCCAGCATCTTACGCGGCCCTGAATACCACCAGAAGTAATTCCTGAGCCAGAGCCAGGAATAACACCTAAATACCGCTGGGTGTGACCCCCTACTCCCCAACATGACTGTGTATTTGTTAATATGAAAATAAATGACTGCACTTATCAACTATGACCTCAAACCTTCCTTTTCCTTTGTATCCAGCCTTCTAAAACACACACACACACACACACACACACACACACACACAGATGCACACAGACATCTCACGTGCAGAGAGAGACACACACACACACACACACACAGACACACTACATTCACAATTACTTACATGGGCTTACATCTCTGTATCTGTTTCGATTTCTGTTTTCTGGAAACTTGGCCACTCTATGAGGATAATCATGGGACTCGTTGCGAATTTCCTTAAAATAACAAAAACATATTTTAACATTTCTCTTGAATCTCATATAAGCTTTCCCAGCAAGTATAAAAGAACATTTATTGGGGTGACAGAAAGAGTTCAAAGAGCTGGAGTACATGCCTTAAATGTATGGGCTCTCAATTCATTGCCCAGCAGCACATGGTTCTGGTGGTCCTTGCCACCTGGAACTGGGCCAGGGCAGCATCACAAACACCATCATATTGAAGGAACATGGCACTGAACATCTACCCAAGTTGGTCAAATATCACAGCCAAGTGAAACTCCATGGCCCTTTGGGAAACACCTCTCCCCCAAATAATTAACATGTACTGGAGAGTTGTCATATACTAAATACTGTGCAAACTATATTTTTCACAGTATCTCATTCAATCCTCTAACACGAATGGGAACGATTACATTATTTTAATAGGTGAGGTCTCAGAGACTCTGAAAGATTAATTCTCTGAAAGGTTAATCTGCCATAGGTTACAATGCTAATAAATGGTGCAGACTTCATGACTGTACAATTGTCCTATCGGCACTAGTCTCAGCGTTTCTGCCTCATCTCCCAAGTTGGGCCATAACTGGTGGGACTCAGAGGCTACTTCCAACCTCTATGTTCAAGGGTCCCCTCCCACCAATGCTCAGGGACAGGCAGGAAATCAAATGTGGGCCTCTAGTATGCAAAGCATGTATTCCAGCCCACTGAGCAATCTCTCTGACCTGAAGTCAATCTCGGCTCTTGATTTATTGAATGTCACATTATATTCAACATTAGCAAGCATTCAGTACTATATTGTCAGCAGCATTGTCCTATCAGCACTGTCCTCCTGTTGTTCATCGATCTGCTTGAGCAGGAACCAGTAACATCTCCATTGTGAGACTTGTTGTTACTGTTTTTGGCATATTGAATATGCCAAGGGGACCTTGCCAGGCTCTGCCACGCAGGCGGGATACCCTCGGTAGCTAGCCGGGCTCTCTGACAGAGACGAAGGAATCAAACCCAGGTCGGCATCGTTAAGGCAAACGCCCTACCTGCTGTGATATCGCTTCAGTTTAATATTGGTACTATATGTAAAACAAAATCAATACAATGAACGTATCAAAGTTTAAGCTCAAATATAAAACTCTCAATAATATCTACATATATTTTAAGTTTAAAATTTTAGTTTTTGAGATTCAATTAAAAATAAATTTGCTCGAGAGGGCCCAATAATGTCTCCATTTTGAGACTTCTTGTTACTGTGTTTGGCATATCAAATACGTCACGGGTAGCTTTGCCGTGCAGGTGAGATACTCTCGGTAGCTTGCTGGGCTCTCCGAGAGGGGCAGAGGAATCGAACCCGGCTCAGCCAGGCTGGCTGCACGCAAGACAAATGCGCTACGGCTAATTTTAAAAAATTTTATTTCTTCACTTTCATGCCATGTAACTATTTTGAGACTACAAATATTCTCAAAATTTACTTTCAGCTCTGTAAGTGTTCAGCAACCTCCACAAGATCTGATGCAGGATCTTTACTCTTACTCCATGATGCAAGAAATCCTCTGAGGTTATATCTGTGCAACACATTCAGCTACCTGCAGTACAGAGTCTGACCAAATTTTTTCTCCCCAGTGGAATCTTCTTCTAAAAATTCAGATAGGGGTAGGTAGTACAGTGGGTAGGGTGCTTGCCCCAGGACCCCATATGGTCCCCAGAGCACCACCAGAAGGGACCCCTGAGCACAGAGCCAGAAATAAGCTCTGAGCATCACCAGGTACGTTAAAAAAACTCAGATAAAAATTGAAATAGAGTATAGCTGGGAATGTAACATGTTGGTATGGTCATTTTGGAAATGCACCTTACCATTGTTGCTACTGACTTTTCAATATTACTTCCATGTTTAAATGTTTAATACTACTTTCATGTGTGCTCTCTAGCTAGTTATGAATTTCTCAATAGTAGCACATAGTAATAAACCTGCCTCTATCTTGTACTTCATATTTATTTATCCTTAATTCTTTTTTCCTACCTAGTTGTATTGTCTAGAACACCCTGTGCAAAGTCACACAGAAATCCGTGTGACACAGGCTGGAGAGAAAGCTCATCCAGTTGAGCACATACTTCGTATATGGGAGACCCAGATTTCCCAACATGAATAAGGTCATCTCAGCACTGCTAGGTGTGGCACTTCACCACCACCACCACCAGCATCAGAGCCGGGAGAAGCCCTTGAGCACTGCTGGAGTGACCCTAAAACAAAACAAAAAACAAAAAGCAAAAAGTTTTGCCCTGATTTTAAATAAGCTGCTTCTAAAGTTTTATCACTAGCATAATAATTAACTACTAATCTGGTAATGTCACATGATGAATTACAATAATAGATTTATACTTACTAATTATATTTAGGGTTCCTCTATGTCTTTTTCATGGTCTTTCTAGCTCTGAGTAATACTGCACTATACCATTATTAGTGGCTGTATTACCATTTATGCATCTTTAAATTGTCCTAATTTTCTCATGACTTACTCAGTTCTCTTATCAAAGCTACAACTGCCTTATACAAAAACTAAACTAAAACAGGACCTTTAAATATCAAATTTTTTTCCATGAAATTGTAACAAATTACTATGACTAAAAAAGGAAAACTTGATCTTCTTGCATCAAGTTTTAAAATGGCAAATTATGGGAAGGGGGCTGGTATTGGGTCACACCCAGCAGTGCTTAGGGTTTACTCCTGGCAGGCTCCGGGGACCACACTGGGTGCTGGGGACCAAACCCAGGGTAGCCACATGCAAGGTTAATGCCTTATCCACTATACTATCTCTCCAGTCCATAAAATGGCAAATAGTTTTGCATGTAAAATTAAACCATATTCAGGTTTAGATTTAGATTTGCCTAGCCCCAAACACTATATAAACACTACCAAGTTTTAAGTTATTTCACACTGTAGATTAGTCAATGAAGTAACAGAAAATTGTAACAAAATTATACTAAAACACCTATTTTCTAATGACAGCTATTCCTTATTATTAGGAGCAAGAATAGGGGCCAGAGCTAGAGAGATAGCACAGCAGGTAGGGCACTTGCCTTGCACATGATGACCCTGTGGATCCAGCACCACATATGGTCCCCAAAGCACCACCAGGAGTGACCTCTGAGCAGAGAGCCAAGAGTAAACCCTGAGCATTGTAAGCTGTGGGCCAACACCATACCCCAAAACATATATGATTAAGAAAAAGGAAGTTTATCATCATTTTAAAAAGAAAAGAGCAAGAAAAGAAAGTTCTGATAACATTAGATGGTAAAAGAGAGTTGAGAGTTATTCAAATATATATGGTAAAAGAGAGTTGAGAGCTATTTACAAAAGACAATTGAGAGCTATTCACATATAGTATTTTTAGTGAGGGGAATAAAATCCAGTGAGATTTTGAAAATCACTAAAATCATAAACTTGATCAACTTTACCTCCTGAAATTAATAGGTAGTTACACATGTGTGTGCAAAAATTATGTAAAAGGATATTTAAGAGTACAGAGAAAAATCTAAAAATCTTAATGTCCTTTAGGAGAGAACTAACTGATAACATACCAATGCAGTGAAATCTGTAAGAACTATGAAAAAGTATACCAAATGACACATGCACTGACATGGAACTATCTCGAAGATAACAGCTTCGTGAAATAAAAGGTGTTTTAGAAAGGTACAGAAGAATGTGTTTGTGCCTGGGGTTTGGAGTAAAATAAACTTCACTCAAACATAAATATGCCTGAACAGACACTGAATGATTGGTTCAGGTGATAAGAAATGAGTAATTTCAGATGAGGAAGACTGGGGGGCAAGAAATTCAGAAAACAGAAAAATAAAGAAGCCCAGGGAATGTGACTCAAGAGGCAGAAACAATGCCTCATATGTGTGAGGCCCCCAAGTCCTATACTTGGTACTATAAAACAAAACAAAACCTCAGAAAAATATAGATGACATTCATGTCCCCCACCACCTCACCAGTGACATTAAACATCACATTTGCCACATTTGCTTAAAATATTTAAGAAATGAAGGGTTATAGAAACAGCATAGGGGTCAAGGCCTTGTAATATGTGGTCGACCTCAGGAACAGGTCATACCTCAGCACCAGTGGAAGAGACTACAAAGCAGAGGCAGGAATAGCTCAAAATTCACCAGGAGTGACTAAAAATCCCACCCTCACCATCAATCCAAAATGAAAATTACTGCTGATAGTGAAAATGTGATCCTTATCCTGTGGCTCTCTTCCAAAAGCTGATTCCCTTTATTATTTTATTTTTTTGCTTTTTCAGTCACACCCAGCAATGCTCAGGGGTTACTCCTGGCTCTGTGCTCAGAATTTACTCCTGGTGGTGCACAGATGGACGATATGGAATGCCAGAGATCAAACCCAGGCCAGTCATTGCAAGGCAAATGCCCTACCCACTGTGCTATCATTCCCACCCCTGTAGCTCCCCTTTAAACTACTTTTACTAGACAGCTTTTTGCCATTGAATTACAGGTCATATATTCTTATATTCTTTCATTCCTATGTTATTTTAAAATTAGCTAGTAAAAATACTAATACATACTAGCATAGAAACAGCACTAGTGTTAAAATAGTTTTAAAATCACATTAAAAACTGCCAGGAGTGACCCCTGAGCACTGCTGGATATGGTTCAACATCTGCCCCCTCAAAAAGAAAGCTTGGGCTGGACTGATAGTACAGTGTAGGGTGGGGTGCTTGCCTGGCATATGACTGGCCCAGGTTTGATCCCCAACACCCCAAATGATCCCCCAAGCCCCATCAAGAAGTGTCTGCTGAACACAGAGCCAGGAGTAAGCCCTGAGCACTGGCCAGATGTCGCCCCAAAACAAAAAATGACATAAAAAAATAGTTCCAACCCACAGAATGGAGAAAAATTGTTCTGATTCATATATCACATGATTAATATCCATCCATGTAAAAATTTATACAGTTAAAAACCTTTTGCTGTTTTGCACCAAACCTAAC